AAAGAAAAATATACAAAGAGTAAAAAATTTTCTACAATTCACGGAGAACGTGCAAATTCACTTGCACTAGTGGCATTAATTTTGAGATGAGTGACGTTGCAAACTGCCAACTTATTTTTTTAAGACTAGATCCTCATTAGGCTTTACTCTAATATACAGTAAGTTTTATGTGCATATACGAAATCATTAAAACAATCAATGTATTTGGTTTATAATTCAGCGATCACAGAGGAATAGATGATACTTTCATTATCGTCGATCAGAACATTGGAAAAGAAGAACTATTAGAGCTATTTAAAAATAAGCTTAAGTTTAGAGAAATTCACTATTTAACAAGAAAACAAATTAACAGAATCCTCAACCACATTAGGACATATGAACTTTAAATAAAAGCGAACATACAAAAATTGCATACTCTGATTCTTTAATATCAATATTCTTGTTTGTACTATCACTAGTTGTCCTCCATTGCTGCATGACTTCAGCCAGCTGTTGATTACGTGTAGCATAGAAATGTAAAACTATGTCAATGCCACCTTGAGGTGCAACATAGGCATGTAATCCTGAAGGTAGTCCTTCAGCTTGACAACAAGCCTCAACCGCTTCTCGTGACCAACCATATTTCGGGACATAGGCCAATGTGGATTCCAAAACACGTGCCTTCAAATTTGAATCTAGTACGAGTTGATGGGTTTCAGTACCGTGTAATTTGTTATGATCACTGAATATGATAGAAGCTAGAAATGTACGGGAAAAAATATTCAAATCAAACTTATTTGTTATATCCGGACGAAGAACAAGTTAATGGTAACTGCAAGGACATATATATATATATATATATATATATATATATATATATATATATATATATATATATATAATTACTAAGTAACTGTTATATGTATAATCATATTCCTTTTATTTTAAGCTTCCGTTTGACATATTGACTACTACTATACGATTTACTATTCTTAAGTTATTCCTAACATATTAGTTACAGTATCTTACACTCAGCCACTTTTGGTCTGACCTCGTATAATTGTTATTTTCTATTTTATGGTATGATCTGGTCTGATTCGCTTGTACATAAACTGCGTATTTCTGAAATGCATGATTCATACAGTGGAAGCTGAGATTGTGTTCTGGAGTCAAACGGGCAGGGCTAGGCGAGAACTAGTGAGGACTCAGAGTTGACTCTAAGCTGTTGGTACTGGTTTATGCGTCATTGGTCTGGTCATATAAGTTGATGTTTCTAATTAGCGATATTACCACGTGATATATTCGAAAGCTATAAGGACAAAACACTATTGAGCAGTCCTAATAAATAGATTCTTGTGGATAAATGAATAGCACTCGTGTCCATATATAAGAACGAAATAATACGGAATTTTGAAAAAATGTGTCATACCAACAAGTTGCTAATTACAACAAAGAATAAGGCAGAAGTATGAAAATATTTAAAAAAACCTAACAAAAAAAAATGAGAACAAGTGTTTATAAGGTTACAAAATATTCAAGGCTGAATCGTCTAGACAAATAATCAATTCATTATGTACTATTAATTCACAAATCTGTTCGGCTCGTGCACTTGCATTTTGGCTATACTTGTTGAAACTGATATCCGACCTTCAACTCTTTATAGCTCTGAGGGCTATGAGTAACGTAGACTGACGTAAATTATTAGGCCGTTAAATTTTTAATTATAGTCTAGGAATGTTATTTGGTTTTATTAAAGCAAAAGCTACAGTAAGGAAGTCGAACTTTACCCGACAGGATTTCATTCTTGATAGCACCGATATATATAAGAATGAAACTCCTCTAGTTCTAATATGATAAAACTAGCAATCATAATCATCTGACGTTTAGCTGGGGCCTAGGAAAATCGAAATGAAAACAAAGGGAATGCTTCAGATTAGGTCGTAGAAGTTAGCAGCTACAAACTTACCGACTGTCATATGTTGTAAGATAAATATACTTGCCGATACACACCTTAAACCGTATTTAACGACCTGAAGACAATACCCAACTGCATATCATGGGATCTTATGCCTTTGTAGGTCCCTTAAAGATAAATTAAAACGGATTATCCAAGCGCATCCTCTTCACTGGATCAAACTACAGAGAACTAGTGAGGACTCAGAGTTGACTCTAAGCTGTTGGTACTGGTTTATGCGTCATTGGTCTGGTCATATAAGTTGATGTTTCTAATTAGCGATATTACCACGTGATATATATATATATATATATATATATATATATATGCTACATTAAGCAGAATTAGTCAATTTTGAACAGTTTCCTTTATTTAATATCACCACAGATATGCTTTTACAGTTATTTAGTGAACTAATAAGTGACAACAAAGAAAAATTGATTGTGTTAATTATATCGAATTTAAAAATTACTGCATTACGGATAGCTTATATCGAAACTTATTCCTATTAAAAGATCGAATTATTAGAGAGGAAGATCTTAGGATATATATCAGCCCTGGCCAATTGATAGCTCAAAAAATATCAGCGCGAGTTAAGAGTTGGGGCAGTTGAATGAAGATATGGTATTGTTATATGAATTTGTCGACTTCAAGAAGTGTCGATTTTTTAATTTGGTTCTGTAGAACAAAGACTGACAATGAATAAGCACTCTAGGTAGTATGGATATTATTATATCATTCCCTAATACTCTGCGTCTAACCTCACTATTACTTACCCGTTGATCCCAGCAGACGCCAGCAATATTCCTAAGGTATCTGTGGTCAAATAGTAGTAGCTTACGAGTGTCTTCTACTCTTAATGGCCATGTTCCGCTGTCGTAAATTAAAACAGAACGGACTGCCACGCAGGATACTCGTCCTTTTATTGATAGACGGATATCCCGCCTTCGCCAGAGGTGACGTAAGTTGGCAAAAGCCAAGCGAGCTTTTCGAATCAGTGCTGAGATTTCGTCAGACACCAACCCATTAGGGCTGATCAGACTTCCAAGATAAGTGAAGTTGTCGACGCATAGAAAGGATTGGCTGCTTAACAATTTGAGATCTGAAAGAATTATCAACTTTAAAAACTTATTAATTAAAGCATTTTTTGAACATTAAGCAGAGTGTGACTTTAAACAACTTACATAACTGACACAACCTTTGCAAAGGAACATGGACAGTGGATGATACTACAGTGATCATTCTGTATTTAGAGCTACTGTTTGCAGACAGGACAAACGAACATAACCTAAACAATTAAAACAGATTTCAATCAAAAATAAAGGTTTATGAAACAAAACTTTGTGCGTATACATATAATGTTGTAAACGATTTAAGCGGTCAATCAAAGCCTCTAACAGCCCGTCACTATAGTCGCTCTAATCTAAATCAGATAATCCACACCAGCTAACATGGCTTAGTCTAATTACCTTTGACTTCATAAACTGGTCACATGTTTTGGTTGGGCTGTCAATAGCTTTCTTCCAACCTACTACTGTTACTATTACTACACCACGCACTATCACTCATCGAGGTAGGTGGTAGTTGAGCATCTGCAACACATGTTCCAAATACTTCAACTGATGAAGATTTACTACCTCGCAAATTAACTTTCTATCTTTACCAAGTGCCATACTGCTACCCCAGGCATCTCTTATTCGGTAGTTCCGAAATATATGAGCAATCCTTTTAAGTTAGCTGCTTAGTATTCTATTCTACTCTATAGTCCAAGGACCTATGACACTAGTCAAATTTAACAACGGATATTTCCCTTACCTCATAAGTCCTCTCCTTATTCTAATTTAATCGTTCATAACTAGCTCAATCTTCGGCAAAGCTTTAGAATCGCATCCCATGGATATGAGCTACGTTTCCGGAACCGAAACACATTTATGAAGAACGATAATTTACTTCAAATTGTAAGAACCATTCTTTGGATATTTGGCCATTCGACAGCAAATTTTCATCTTATAGCCTTTTCAGTGTACCACCAAATGGCACTACGATACCTTAGAAAGTTCGAATGCACATTGTTACTTTTCTTTGTTTCAGCCTATGACGGTGGCATGAATGAAATAGGAAACCGGCGTGATAGGAAGCTCTCTAAACGAAAAGTCAGACTCACAGGTGAATTATTCATTGCACGAGACGCTATCACTCAGACACTTAAAATAAATCAAGCCACAGAAAATACTCATATACTATTTCCGGCACCTCGGCACAGTGATTACACTACGGCAACTGTTTGCTGTGGATAAACCATATTGTGAGAGTCAACTTTGAATACAAACAGAAGTTTAGCCAAATTATCACCGAAAATAACTAAATAGTTTGTACAGACAGATTATATCACTACAATCCATGAGTGGAGGATCATTTTAGTTTTGTACTGTATACAGCATATTCTTGAACTAGAACCATAGATTTATGCGAGCACATTTATGTTTATGTAATGAAACATCGTTCTTATAGTTTGACTTATTGGTGAAACTATCATAGAGATATTAAAGAATTAACTATATGGACACTAAATGGGGCAAGAGGATTTTCAACATAAAGTATTCTGTTATGATTTCATAAGTGCAGAATTAGCTATCGAGAACCTCGATGTGAAATGCATTAAATCTTAACAAATCTTGAGAATTTTATCTGAATAAATGTATGTTCATCCTTAGCTCTTTATTTCACCAATTTTTTTTCTCTTGCTATGTTAGCGTGAGGCTTGTCACAAGTTTTTGCTTCGTTTTTGACTGACTAGCACATTGAAAATCCTACTGACTGAACTTTAACCAAACACTTAACGGTCTATAACCTCATCGGCTCTTATTATTAATGCAACAGACTTCTTACTTTGTGGTTGATAGACAAAGAGCTATTTGACACATTATCCAACGGATAAAAACTGAAATTCTAAGCACACGAATGTAAAAGAAATTATAGCACATGAAGATAACTTACTTCAGTTGTCGTCCTCCAGAAATAACGAAGCGTCCAATCATAGTTTCTTTGGTTCGAATAACAAAAATGACTACCTAAAATCAAGATGTGGAGCTACAAACCAATAAAACGATTAAGATTATAACAAGGAGTACGGGAATAAAATTTTATTTACAAAACGAGCATTACAAAAACAAGTCCCCCATTTACATGTAACCGTTAGATTTGGATTGTAGATATAACGTCTGAGTTTGATGGAAAGTCATTTCCAAAAGACGCAAACGAAGCATGACACTTTCTTGAACGCCAAGTTCTGATGTTAAACGTTTTGCTTCTGTAGTATCACCTGTATTGCGCAAGGTCGTTTGGAGTGCAGAAATACGTGTTTGATACTGAACAATATGTTGATCTAAACATGACTTTAAATTACACAGAAATTCGCTAAAGTAACTTATTCTCCTATCAGAAGTATTGGTCATAAGCTTTACAATGTAGGACATTAGTGGTGAAGGGTATGATTTGAACTTCATAAACACATACATAGCCAAGTTCAGGGCGGATAATAACCAGCTACTTTCATCAATTAAATCTTCCTGTGAACTGGATGGTAGTGGATACGTGAATATGTATTTAAATATACGCTTGACGTCTTCTGAGTAACACGAATTAGCACTATTTTCTGGGTCAGTTACTTCAGACTGAGCTTTAGAATCACTAATACTTTGCACAAGGCTGTGTAAATGATTTTTAAATAGAGTGATCACATGGCCACGCCAACCATGATGTACACGATTTTGAGTGGGTCCCAGAAATTTAGCATAGATGTGGAATCGAGCGAGGTAGGTTGACGACGAGACTATTTGCTCAATACAACCGATTGCTTGGGTAATATGATTTGGAAGAGTTTCATCAGATACTGGTTCGGTAGCAACAACTTCTAGATACTCTAATAACTTAAACCGATGAGGATCCCACCAAGCAAATTGAAGAGAACAAGGGTATCTTTTAAAAAGGCTTTCAATAAAATCCATGGAGAATTGTCTTAACCTGGAGTATCTGTCAGGGTGAACTTTTTGTTCGCTAGAGTCCATTAAACCAACTTTACAATTTCTAAACCGCGGATTACGCCCGGATCCATCGAGCAAGAAATATACAAAAGGACAGATTAAGTCGATCCAGTACTCATGAGTAAAAACTAATGGCCAAAACTTGTACAGTTCATATGTATGACTAGTAAAGAAGTAGTGCAGTAACTGGATCCAACTTGGTACCATAAAGGAAGCAGCTGTTTTCCCGTACAGAACTGTATCCGGAGATGTGAGAAGTAATCTACGACATGATAAATAAAACGTGTACAATCCTTCACATACATTCGAAAGATTCTCCACAAAAAGAACAAGTAGCTCTTCTTTGTCTTTAGAATCAATGTACAGTAACATAGAAATCATGTACAAAGTATGACGCCGTAAAAAACACTTATCGGCAGAATTTAACAGCCTAACTGAAGTTGGCGAAATTAAATTTCTAAATAAATCAGCAGATGCATGAAGTGCACAGAATAAATCTTTGTCAGAAAATTTCTTTACTGCATCCTCACATGAATTAAAGGATTCCTTGATTCGGCCAAAGTATTTTAATTCGATTTTAATAGCACAAACAGATATAGCTTTAAGAATTCGAGTAAAATATCCCACATTACTGAAGGTATTAAGGAAACTCTGAAGAAGAAGAACGCACTGATCACAGTCAAATGAAACGGATATTTCAAGTAGACTTTGTTCAAATACGAGAACTAAACTACCGTCACCTAACAAACAAAGTTTTCCTAGCCAGTTACACATCCACTGGACCACATAAGGTAGGTCGCTGTCTTGTATGCACTGGTATAACAAAGTAAATTGTCTTTCTAAATTCTTGACATCGCGGCAAGCAGTATATTCATCGATCACAGAGCAAATACTATGCACACTACCGGTGATTGTCCCTTCGGACATGAGTAACGCACAACCGGTAGTGTGCGCTTTTGTACAAAATACAATGTATCTAGCGGGAACGATATGTGAAATTCTTATGGTGAGCAATTATAAACTCTCGAATTTCTTCCTTTTCCTATCTGTACATCGAAAGAAAGTTCTAAATCTTTATCAAACTAGATGTAAAAATAAGTACTGTATACACCCAAAAGAGTGAGTCCAACAGTTTTGCTGCGGTACATATTTTCCTTGAATTAAATGGCTTAAAGCACTCGAGGTTGATTCTGACAATCTTGATTTAACTGGTTTCTATGCTAACTGAGGACATTCAGTCAGCTACTAATACTACGTCACGGTTTAATACACAGTAAGATGTCACTCCTCTCACTTTGATTTTATATAGTCGCGGAATTTGATCCTTCTTGAAATAGCATCAGGGAAGATTATCCACGTGGTTATCAATCTTCAGTGTAAAAGATAGGGGTTTCAACCACTTATATCATCCTGTCGATCCACAGTGCTCCAAAGATTGCGTTTTGTTATGAGTGTTTCAATTAGATTCTTTGCAAAGAATTAAAACAATTAACTACCGCAGAATGTTGAGAATTCGATGTTGAATTTCGGACTAAAGCGGGATCCTCTTTGATTAGTCAACTACTCAGTCAATCAAGAGCAACGTAGAACCTGGCTCTTAGGTACCACGGTTCAATTTACCATACCATACTAGATATGAGAACTTCGGGAGCTCAGAATTTGGATGAACATAGAGGAGAGATACACACGTGATTTGCTTCCTGAAACCGCCAGTTTGAAAAAACATATCGGTAAAAAAGGCACGGACTGGCGGGTAAGCCACGGATTTTTGCGCACACGTTACATATTGTCGTGGATTTTTTGTGTCGTTATTTATCAGCTATTAACAGGCTTTTTTGCATGACACATCAATTTCTGTATTGCTAGTGCTCGTAACATAGTTTTTATTCCAATTTATTGGCAGTTTGACGTATTTCTTGCTCACCACGTAAGTAAGTCTGAAGTTAGCTTAATATAGTTATTTGTAACAATACAAACTCAAGCAAGTAAAGTTCACCGTGTTCCTAGTCAAAAAATACATCACAGATTGAGTTTTCATGTAAATGAACCGTAAAATCTTTTACATATGGTTCACCTCCTTGATTGCGGTGACGGTGAACATGGATGTCGGTAGTTGTTTATAAAATGTAAGTAGAAGCAATCAAGCGTTAACCTAATTGTGAATATTATATAACTTGTTTGTATTTAGCCATAAAAAGTTATATCCATTAGAGGTACCATTGTTTTGTACTGAAGTGACATAATTATGTAACGTATCTGAGAAAAAAAATATGTGAGTAACAATTGACGTTTATAGTGTTGTCCAGCGGCTTTCTGAACGTCTGCAGTAATAGTGTATAACACCACATCAAGTAGGAACAAAATCTTCATGAATAAAACGATCGGTGTTTCTTGTGAGAATGGTGACACAACCATGTTTTTTAGTTAATACTGATTTGTGACGTGTCTGTTATAGGGTTCACAAATGAGTTATTATATACTCTTCACTCCGTCTCGGTAATACAGTCGTTGTGTTACTTAGGAAGTTATGAATGAATGTCACTACTTGTCAATAAAAGACTTATAGGCACAGTCTGTTACTTGCTATTTGAATAATTTATTGAATATGATACTGAGAACAAAGTTTAATTGTTTGTCTCAAAACGGATTTGTTGTTTTTCAGAATAGTATGAAGCTTATGGAATTTAGGATTACGGAAGATCGTGTGGAAAACCGGTTTACAAGTTTACGATAACTGTTTTATATTGCCTACTGCTATGCTCATTCATCTAATGAATTATTTAAATATAAATATAACAACCATACGCAGTGTTTTATATTATAAATCCTGTAAGTTTGTATAATTATGGTCTAAATAAAGCCAAAACAAATATTGACGCAGAATCATGTGACTGCATTACATTTCGTGGTTTCTCATAAGTTGCATACAACTGAATATGCATTATAATTTAAGATTGAGGGAAGAAATAGTATGGAAGGTAATAGAAAGCAAAGAATTGGAATGACCTAGGTTATCAATAATAACTATACATATGTATATGCTTGAACAGGTCAAAGGTCATTTGGTGTTAGACTTAAGGGAACATAAAGGATGGGTGGTGTAATAGTCGAGTGAAGCTCAGAAGCATATAAGATAAATTGTGTGATAATTCTAGATGTAATGAATAAATCAGTGAATTAAGAACTAATGAGATAAGTGAAGACAAGCTGAAGAGTTAACATAATTTAGCAAAGTGTGAGTGGAAGGGTGGTCTAAGGATTACGTAATCCATCTTATCAAGGAACTAGCTGCATGAAATTGTCTAGTTCCGTACTAATACTAACTTGATAATGGACGTAATCTGACAACGGAAATATGTAAGGCGGTTGTTTAATCTGTAAGGTTTTACGTGGAAGTCGCATTATTGTTTTATTTGACTCGTTGATTCCTCACAATAAACAACGATATAACGCCAAGTTCTAACGACAGTTCGTAACTAATACAGTAGTACAAATTCTTAATTTTCACACACAATTATTCGTTAAAGCGATTGGTAAACCTCCCCATGAAAGTATGAAGAAGACGAAAATAAAAAATGAGAAAAAGTTTATTGATTTTTCATGACTACTAAAGTGGAAAGATAAGTTTACAAGTTGTATAAATAGTGTTCTAAAATAAAGCCACAAAGAACTGTTAATCGTAAACCTGCTGTCTAGCTGTTTATAATTCTTAAGTAAAAATTGTAGACTTTTCTCTCCACCTGATTCGCGAAGCGTTCACCATATTTCTCAACAATTCGTTGTTTGCACATTCTTTGGATCCGTTGAAGTTGTATATATTCTTTACTCCGTCTCGGTAATGAAATTCCTGTGTTGTTTTGTAAATTGCGCGTATTTTCTCATTTCCATCTGCAGCAACACCTAAGAAGTTGATGAGCTATGCAGTTTATATTTTATAATTTAAATAGCTTACCTGTTAGATTTCGTCTTTTAATATATGCCAGCAGGAGATGGCGGCACGGATATCGACACATATTAAACGTGCTACAATTGCATTCACAAATACTTACATCCACTTCGTAATGTTGTCCGCGGTCAAGCATAAACAACCACTCGCCGCTTTCATATTCTAAGTTAACGAAACGCATTTTTTTAAGTTCGTATAACACTTTGGATCTTGCGAATGGGGTCAACATGTTCAGCAAGGGTATAAGACACTGTGGAGCATCATAATTGTATGTTCGTCCACTGATTATTTGGTCTTCAATGCTTTTTCTAGAGAATGTCATTGAACTCCACTTAAAAGCCTTGTACATGCATTTGTGCAAGCTGTCGCTTTTGCGTACATATCTTTTTATCTGCCTATTTAATGACTCAACACGATTATTCGTGTTGTTACCCAAAGTTAATACACTGCCGTAAAAGGCACGCGCCCATAATGAATATCTACATAGTAGAACAAAACGAAAATCATATTCACTTTTTATTATTAGTTTTATAAGTACAATCAATACACACGACTTAGGGATATTGATTGTACAGCCGTATCTGATCATAACTGCTGAAGCATATCGCCGTAATACATCCATTTTCTGCCTGCTCTCTAACTTCACCGTTTTGTCGCATCATCTGCAATACCTGCTTCCGAGTCCAACCTGAAATATATTTATATACACTTACCAGTGGAGAGTTCAGCTTTTATATTTTTGACATCAGCAGCGGTCACCTGCTTACCTGTTCTTTCCTTAATACTTTCGATAACTTCGTCCGTCGACTGACAGTGCAATATAACTGGTTTCAAGTTTTCTTTTTCTTCTGATGACAATCGTCTACTCAACGGATCACAAACCATCCACGAACTAGTACACGGATGGTTGTGAGACATGTTGTAAGATTTTATAACGTATTGTTGACCCTCCAATCTTACGCGAAACATCGATTGGCAATTTAAAAATTTAGACCTTAAATGTAACACATTAGTTAGAGTCCTCACGGTTTTTTATTCACATTCAGACCTTCTGATTTACGTTTACGACCAAACGTGCAACGAAACACTACGAACAAGTATTTATATCTCACATCCTTCAACAATCTACTTTCTGCGTGAACATAGTGTGTATGGGTCATCTGAGAAAACATAGATTTATCCTATCATACTTTATGGAAATCCTTTAGCGCATTATCTAATTCAATCCAGCTTCCGAATCTCTTGTTCAGCATAATACGTTGGAACGCGTCGCTTACGTTCACTGAAATTTCACTTGAGCATGAAGCACTAGAGACAACATACAATAGTTATTAAAAAAAGGTTATTCCTTGAAAAAAATTAACTGAAGGAAGAACAACAAATATTTAGGACTTACCCTTCAGTTGACATTTCGTCTTAACTCACAAAAACTAGGCGCATCTATAACCTTTTACGTTATTTTATCTTTCTTACGTTGTTTTCTGGACCTTATCAACAAATTATATATAGCTGTTGACTTTCACTACAGCACTTAGGACCACAGATCAAGTTTCGAAGGAACAACAGAGCTAAAGTGTGCACTACAAAACAGAAAATACTCAGTTAATGCTCTTAGCAGTTATTTAGTGTTTATTATGCATCAAAAGATGACTTATATATGGAAACATTTAATACTCATAGGACCCAACACACACACGGCAATTGAAATACAGAATACCCGCTTCCAGTCAGCGCGTTCAAGGTCGTTGAAACGAAACGGCGGACAGATTTGAAAGGGATTACCGTTTTTACCTTGCCGTAAAAAATATCGATACTCAGTAGTAGTAATAGAATCGCATACAGGTAATATGAAAATGTTCCGAAGAAAAATATAATGTGAAACTCAACGTGATAATTTTTTGTGTTTTACAGTTAGCAGTGTATATTAACATTGTCAACGGCTTTAATAAATGCTACATATTTATTACAATATGGTTTTTTAAGAAAGGAAAAAACAAAAATCTGACAACTGCCCACATATATGCCGAAATGAAGTTACTAAACTATCTAGAGTTAAGTGGACTTTTGAAAAATAATATTAGAGTCCGTGCAACTTTTGATTATAAAAATGGCTGACAGTACAATTTTCAAATAGGTCAGCCCTAACAACCAGTTTTTTGCATGGTGCATTTCCAAGATAATGTACCGTAGAACTTTTAAATCTTTCCCTACGTTCATGAATTGTTATATATTGCCACCTCGATTTTATCGAAGATATACAAGTAGAAACGTATGAGTAGGTAGAATGGCTAGTATGTTGTAGCGGTAAATAAATCCCCAAAATAAATAGCTCTGTAAGTTTTCGACATTGGATGCTGACCACATATTTTAATGGATTCACCTATCTGAAGGCGATCGGTCATGCACCCGCACCAGATCACGAGTGGGAACGCCGTGCCCAACAACCCCTGAAATCGTTAGCCAGATAAGATCAGACGATCTTCGATATATTGATAGCTTATCAAATATACCTTCGAAATTCTACGCATCTGTCTTTTGATTTCACTTGGTGGGTACGCTTCATATTATAAGGCGTTACTGGTTGAAGCGTTGTCAAACTCTGAATACCTGTGGCACCTTCAATGTTATAAGACAGTATTTGACAGGAGTTTGCAAGAATTCAGATGTCTGTCCACAACCATATTAATAACGACCTCAAAAGATTCACCCTGAACCCTACTAACTGCCTTAAACAAGCTCAGCAACCCAGCACAGCACAGGAAACAATAACTGAGAACAGTTAGGACCTATAGGTAAAATATCAGAGATAACAAGTCGTAATAACATCAGTTAATGAGAAAAACACTTGAAGTTTTTACACAGTAGGTACAACGGAAATCTTTTTTCGATGTCAATATAACATGAGAATTCCAGGAGATACCAGAAGAAAAACTCACACAGTGATAATTGACTTTTGAAACTTCCTATAACAGAATTTAGAATGGTGAATGGGATTCTAATGAGGTGTGTAAGTGTTATTCATACCTTATGCTAAAGTTAACAGTGTGATATTTAGGAAGATTAAGTATGGGACCATTAACAACATATCATCCTTCAATGAGAGACAGGAACTCTTTCATTTCGAGGGGATGTGAATAGGTGGATATTGGAGCACACAAATGAATAACGAAGGTATTTTCTGTGAAAGGTGGCTATTCATGTAGAAAAAGGGGATAGAAGAAGAGAAAGAACAGTGATGCACTTTCATGAGTTACCAGAGACTTTAAACATTTGCCGTCAAAGACAGTGTTATGTTTTTTTCCAAGGATGATCGAAACTAGCCACTTATTTATCCAGCTGTCGGTTTTGATGCTGACAAACTTGTTGGGATATAGTTGTCTTAGAGCAGGGTCGAAAGCACGAGCGTAATTTAGAAACGCGCATCGAACATATATTTTGTCTTTTTTAAGCTGAACACTATAACGTGATCAAGGATGACAGCTGTATAAAAGGTATTTCTTTCGCAACTGTAAGCAAACTGAAGTGGACCAACTAGCCCTTATAACCCAGATTGAATTGGGAGTAGAAATGTTTTTTCATCGCTTTGAAAAGAGGTAAAGTTGTTGCTATGGATCTAAACTTTATATTCTCATTGTTCGATACTTTCTTACGTGTGGAGATCATCTTTATCTTTCTCCACATTTTCGATATGAAATTGCTTGAGAAGCATTTGTTAACGATGCTCTTGGATAAACGACACAACATCGTCACACTTCGTAAAAAGGAGGTTACTGATTCCATTAGGTCCGTAACATTAGACTGAGTCAAATGACTGAAGAAAATTTAGGACACAAGTTTAAAAAAAATTGGAACACAGTTATTTGAAATTTTGGATGTAAGAAACATTGCACTTAGTTATTGATGCACAGAGGATATATGTCACATTCAGCTGGTTATTGTCACTAATTCATCTTCCATCTGTAAGCTTGTAGTGGCAGTGGGCCCTAATACGACACACTGTGGGAAATAGGCATCCAGTATTTAACACGGAGAAAAACCCAACGATGAAAAGGGAGGGTTTAATGAATTGAATTAATTGAAGTTGATCGTATGGCATGGCTTGGCCATGCAGGCGTGGTCCTTGCTGAATGTCACCCTATATCTTTTATTCATATTGAATGTACTGTCCCATCTCTAGCCTAGTTTGTTCCCTATCATTTATTTGTAATTGTTACGATGTATTGAGTTGGTGTAGATGATGATGTGACTTTCACGTAAGATCTTACAGATTAGGCAGTTATATCATGACAAATCTACAATTATAGGATTAGATCTATTATTAGAGCAGTACTAGTGTCATAGTAGACCGTAATTCTACAAGCCCTTTAAGTGGTTTCCAAATATTTGAAGTTTTTACTAGACAGGAGTTTCTGAGTAAACAGTGAGTTCAGGCGTTTCATTTCTTGGTTTATCAAACCATTTAGCTCTTGGACTTCAACGGAGTTTCTTCCTCTTACGTTCTTTCTTTTACTTCGTAATCATTATAAATGTGAGGTTTATGACATATCAAATCATACGAAAGCAGTAACGGTAATATATTAAACATCAAAGTAGAATTTACGATACAAGTGACAACATGGACAGCGTTTTCCAATGAGTCAGCTCTATATAAATTCCAGCTAATCGTACGAAACAAGTTTTTCATATACTGTATGTTTTCTTAGTAGTTCCTGTATTTAACTTTTTTGCCTGATATAAGTAAGTATTTTTTCCAAGTTTGCCCTATACTTTAGAACATTATTAATGCAATCATCACTACTAAACAAAAAGGCACGTTTATGAGTTACATATAATGCTACATGGTTATTGAAAACCAATAATAAATGAGCATTCAAACGAGTGGAAATATCTATTACACATTGGTAACAAAATTAAAGCTACAAGTTCGTGAATCAAAATGGACTGAATATTAACCATTGAAGGCAACAACAGAGAATCCATTGAATTCATCAATGTAAACAGGTAGTGCACGTAATGTGTGGTCCGGAGTCACGTGAACATTAATAACACAAACGTGATGGTACTCGTTCAGGTGTTTTATATGCCATCTTGAAATCGGTTGGAAACCAGTTTACATATGCGGATGTAACTATACCACCTCTAATCTTTTCTCATTGCTTGATCGGTTGTTACGTTTAATATTGAAACCACAGAGCTGTACTAAACGGCACACTATGCGTGTTAATTTACGGGTTTTCGCGCACATGTAACATATTGTCGTGGATTTTATGTGTCGTTATTTATCAGCTATTAACAGCCTTTTTCCATCATACGTGACTTCTCGTAATCTTTGTGATTAGAAGATAGTATTTATTTCAATTTATAAGCAGTTTGACGTATTTCGTGCTCACCTCCTAAGTAAATATGTAGTTGGCGTAATATGGTTATTTTTTAACAATACAAAGTCAAACAAGTCAAATCACCATTTTTCTAGTCAAAAATAGATTACAGATTGACTTTTCATGAAAATAAGCCGTGAAAAGCATTATATATGGTTCACCTCCTTGATTATGGTGACGGCTAACATAGATGTTCGTAGTCGTTTATAAAATGTAATCAGAAAGAAGTAAGCATTAAACTAACTATGAATATTATATAAATTGTTTGTATTTAGCCATAAAAGGTTATTTGCACTAAAGGTAGCATTGTTTTGTATTGAAGTGACATATTATTGTGTAACGTATCAGACAAAAACAGAAATGACTAATTATTAAAAGGTTATTCCTTGCAACAATAATAACCCAAGGAAATACTACAAATACTTAGGATTTACCTGTGACTTGACATTTCGTTGAGCTTTACTACAGTTGTTGGGATCAAAGATCAAATTACAAAGCAGCAACAGAGCCAAAGTGTACACTACAAAACAGAGGACGCTAAATTAATGGTTTTGGTATTTATTTCGTGCTTTTTTATGTAGCATAAGATGACTTATATATGAAAAAACTTGATACTCATGCAATCCAACCAACCCACGGCAATTGAAATACGGAATGACCGCCTCTAGTCAAGCCGTTCAAGGTCGTTGAAACGAAGGGGCGGGCACATTTCAAAAGGACCTAACGTTTATACCTTGCCGTACTAAACATATGTATTATAAATCATTAAGACTAGGATACTTGAATTATGACTACAAAACGATTAAGAGTTCTTCCTGAATCTGTACGCACGACCATGTGTCACTATTGCAAATGAGAGACTGCATTCTATTAAGTTGATCATTAGTCAACGGCTGAATAAAGGTTACGAAAAGCGTTGTATACATCTAGCTATGTAGTCAAAATAGAAAATCACACTCTGACAATCAACGTGTGAAGTTTCTTTAAATATTATCTATCCGTGTTTCCTAAGATATTAGCGTTCGATGTGATGAATGAGTATTAATCTCAAGAGGTGAAGCTTAACATCACTAAAGAAGAAACTGTTATTTAAAAATCAAAATGGCCGTCTACACTTAAAAATGAAAAAGTGGCAGTTTTTCGAAGTTCAAGCTTCTCAAGTAGATAACTCCCAGAGTGTAGGTTGGTCTGAATGTCTAGACTCTACGTTCACTTGGTTTCAGGCTATTGTTTCTCAAATATATTATTCCATATTTGGTGCATTTAAATGGTAACTACCATAATTACTCCAGATAAATACATTATCACGTTCGTTAGGGAACTGGAGTA